TTAGTCTTAATAAAAGAAACAACAATTTCAACATAATTTTTACTTTTTGAATGGGGCTGTGGACTTGGGACCAGGCCCAGAGTGCCACCTCTGAACCCTCATGCTTACCTGTGTTCTGTAACTGATGCAGGTTTTTTGCATTTCCTCATTCCCAAATTCATATGTTCATGCTTATGTTGGTGAATGACCAGTCCTAGATTGTGATTGGCTGTTTGTATTCATTCAGATAAGACTAGTGGTTGAAGAGGGACTCAATCAGCTTCCCTACAGCGAATGCACTGTGACCACGCCAACAGGTGAGCGTGAACCTGTGCTAACTAACCCCACCCGCTGTCACCTGTCAGAACAGTGACAAATAATTTAATCTATTTATTTAATAGCTCGCACTTCTCAAGTGTGATGTAATCATATTACACGCTAATTGTATGTCTGTGATGTTTCCTACACTTTGATTTCTCCACCATAACATTATCACCTACATTCTTAAAAAGAACCCTTGAAGAACCATATGTTTTTAACAGTGTAGCTTTTGTTTTGTTTTCTGCTCTGTTCAGGTCACAAGTATGAGGGAGTGAAGTTTGAGAAGGGGAACTGTGGTGTGAGCATCATGAGAAGTGGTGAGTGTCACTGTGTATTATGCTAAAGGAGAATTCCATCAACTTTGCAAAATTTCTGCATAATTCAGTCATTGAGATGTAAACAAGGTCATTCAGAGTGGTTTGCGGTGATGACTACAGCACAAATATAGCCAGTTTATTTACTATCCAAAACACCAGTGAACCTGCATGTGTCTTCTGAGGTTTAACATGTAATATTGATGATTAAAAATAGATTAAAAAAGAGAGAGATTAAAAAAACTTTTTTTTTTCAGATTTTTCTTTGGGGACTATTTTGCTTCACAATGCTCTGCATGTATCCCTCCACTATTGTTGTATTTTAATTGTACATTTTACATCAAAATCTTTTCAAAACTTTCATAAAACATGGTCTGTGTTCACATGCTAAGTTTTTCTCCAATCTGATTTATACAGTCTGAATATAGATTAAGACTGAGGGGTATATATCTTACTCTACTCAACAATCTGACGGAAAATCTCTGTTTACATGCTCACTACAAGTACAAAATTACGTGCATGTGTAGAGAACCACTTATTGTAGACGTTACCATGACAACCAGCATCACGTGAGTCAAGTCAGAGTGAGATGAGCAGCAGTGAGCAGCGCTTGTATTTTTGATGAGTTTAAAATGATGTCAGACTCAGGAAAATGTCCTTCACATGTCCTTATTAAAGAAGGCCGAGAGGAAGACGTCGTGTTCTGAGACACATAAGCTGGACGTCCGTCCCACCGCCGTCTTTTAAAGATCAGAGCATAAACTTTGTCTCCTCTGCAGACCAGTTTCTGCTCCGCCATGTTGAACGGTATAAACTCTCACTATGACGTGACGAACATGATCAGAACAGACTTAAACTTTCAGATAGGGCGGACAGAGCGTTTCACACCAAACCACTCTGAATGACTGTTTACATCTCATCCATTTAATTACGCAGAATTAAAAAAAGAAATCGATGGAATTCTCCTTTAAAGCTACCCAGCTGAGTTTGAAATAAATTATGTAAAATTACAACATGTTTTTTTTGTTTTGTTATTGTTGACGATAACCGTACAACTGAGGGTTGATGAAGGATTCCAAACCTTTGACTTAAAGGGTCCATATCGTACATTTTTCTTGTATTTATCTCTTACCCTGAAGTCTACCTGTAATGTTTGGGTAGTTCTATGTACTTAAAAACTGCTGTATTTCTTTTTTATATTACAATTTCCATCATATATTCATTCCTTTGAAGTAAACAGGCTGTTTTTGTTACTGTGCCTTTAAGACTGACGTATGTAAATGGCCTCTGATGTGATTGGCTGCCCTGTATTTTGCCTCATTTTGAAAGCAGTCTGGTTTGAAACGCTTATAACTTGTGTGACTGAGTGAGTGGGGCTAAACTAGTTGCATAGGTGGGTATATGCAAATATGTTGGTTTTTGTGATATCAAAAATATGTTGGTTTTTGTGAAACTGCGAAAATGGGCTGTTTTTTGCAGCTTAATTTGCATATATGAACTGGTCAGTGAACAGTAATAATGTTTACATACTACAACATACTCCTATTTTAAAAAAGGTGAGGAAAATTTATTTTTCCATTATAAGCGCCCTTTAATGGTCAGGAATCCTTCCATGGGTTTAATGAGGGAATGTATTTGATTTAGCTGAATTGATGGTCATTTGATGTGAGGAATGTTTGCTAATGTGTTTTTTTTTCCACAGTAAAGTATCCTGTACTGAGTAAAGAGTATATCATGAAGTACTTTAACGAGACTGGACCAGTGAGGTGTTTTATCATGTGCCTGTAGGTGAGGCTATGGAGCAGGGCCTGAGGGACTGCTGTAGGTCAATCCGCATTGGGAAAATTCTGATCCAAAGCGATGAGGAGACTCAGAAAGCCAAAGTTTTCTATGCCAAGTTTCCCCCCGACATCAGCCGCAGGAAGGTGCTGCTCATGTACCCCATACTGAGTGAGTATTAATCTGATCCATCCATCATCAGTGAGGTTTCAGAGAACGTGTCCTAGACGTTAATGATGAACTTTTATTAACTATTTACCACTTACATGTTTATTTAACCAAGTCTGGGATTTAAATCTGTTTGATTCAAGTGTCCAAGTATATTTTTGTTGGAGAGTACAGAATCAGTTGTGCTGTGATGGACGTGAACTGTTCATGTGTGTGTTCAGGGAAGAGTAACGCAGTCTTTATAATGTACAGGTACAGGTAACACAGTGATCGAGGCGGTGAGGGTGCTAACAGAACATGGGCTGCAAGCCAAACACATCATACTGCTCAGTCTCTTCTCCACCCCGCACGGTAAGACAAACGTTTGAAATCACTATTTTCAAAAAAATAGAATCAATTTGGTTGTACAGAAGAAAGCGAAGTAAAAGTGTAGAAAGGCTAGATGTGTCCAGAATGATGAACAGTCACCCAACATGTCACCCAACACTTCCCTCTCACTGCCATCCAACACGTCCCCCTCATCACTCAACACGTCATTCCTAATATGTCCCTCTCATCGTCTCCCAACATAGTCATCACCCAGCGCCTCAAGTCGAGTCAAAGTTTATTTTTGTAGCGCTTTCACAGCAGGTACCAATGAAACAGTATCTATGATTTAATAGTATGAGTCTGTGCAGCACCAGTATCATCAGAAGGGAGAGTGGCATGCAGGTGAGGCTTTCTGCACAGCACTGGGCAGCAGGAAGCTTCATGGTGGTCAGTCTGGTCCACCTCGCTCTCGTCATCGCCCAACACGTCCCTTCCAACACGTCTCTCTCACATCACCCAACATTTTTCTCTCACGTCATCCAACACGTTCTTTCCAGCATGTCCCTCCCAGCGAATCCCAAAACGTCCCTCTCAGTCACCCAACATTTTTCTCTCACGTCATCTATCAGGTTCTTCCCAACACACCCCTCTGTCACCTAACACTTCTCTCTCACATCATCCAACTCGTCCCTCTCGTCATCACCTAATACATCCCTCTCACCATCACCCAGCATGTCCCACCAAACACATCCTTCTCACCATCAGCCATCACGCCCCTCTTGTCATCACCCAAATCGTTCCTCTCAGTCACCCAACACCTCCCTTGTGTCATCACCCAACCCATCCTTCTCGTCATCTACCAACACGTCCCACGCGTCATCACCCAACCTGTCCCACCCAACACATTCCTTTCGTCATCCACCAACACGTCCCGCCCAACGCATCCCTTTCACCGTCACCCAATACGTTCCTCTCACCATCAGTCAATATGTCTTCTCTCACCGTCACCCAATATGTCCCTCGCATGCTCACCCAACACATCCCTCTTTTTATCACCCAACCTGTCCCACCCAACAATCCTTTTCATCATCCACCAAACACGTCCCACCCAACACATCCCTTTCACCATCACACAACACCTCCCTCTCATCATCCACCAACACGTCCCGCCCAACACATCTCTCTCACCGTCGCCCAACACGTCCCTCTTATCATCAACCAATGTGTCCCACCCAACAACACATCCCTCGGACCTCTAGTCCACACAACTGCCATTTCTTTCTCTGATCTTCTCTCCACCCGAATATGGTGTAGTTTGTAATGTGTGATTGCAGTAAACCTTATAAATCATCTTATAAATCATCATTCATGCTAATGTAACTGATTTGAACTGTGTGTGTTCATACAGGTGCGAGGTCCATCATTGAGGAGTTTCCTGAGATCACGATACTGACAACTGAAGTTCACCCAGTTGCTCCGACACACTTCGGCCAGAGATACTTCGGCACAGACTGACGATCACACCTCAGATGCAAACGCTGCATGTGTGTGAACTGACTAACTGACTTTGAGTGTGTTTTGCTATTCAGTTGGTCAGGAAATGATGTGCTCTGGCTTGTTTCTTATTGGTCCATTTGGGGGCTCCACTCTTGTCTTGATTGGTCCATTTTTCAGTGTTTCCAAAACTTGACTCGTCCAGCAAACTCAACATTTATTGACGTTCAGCCTTTCTAGGTTTCACAACTTTGAGTGCCAGAACGGAGGGGTGCGTTCTAGAATGTGCTAATGGTTTGGAACTGAGAAGACACATTCCAGCTTTGATGCATGTGTTGCCCCAGTGGATTTTTCTCTGCACTGTCAATCAGTGCAGAGCCTTTAGAAAAAAGGAACAAATATAAATAAAAGTATTTTGTATTAAACAGCTTTTGTCTTTATTTGTCATTTTTTTTACAATATTACAGAAAAACAAAATCTACAACTGCCAAATTCTCAGACAATAAACTTTAGCTTATTCCCAAACGTAGTATGAACGACACATACTGAAATTCTAATGTTAGCTATTGACGTCTCACGCATGATCAGAAAGAAACCTTTTACTACCAGAAAGATCTGGACGTATGGAACATTAGAAATACTGTAACAGCTACATGGAAAAATCTTCACGAAAAACCTTCGTTTTCCAGCTGACAGCTTGGTGTAGCAAAGCTCTCGTCTGACCACCCTCAGTGCCTCATACAGCTTCCGAAACAGCCTGAAAGAGCAACATGTACAAACATAATTATGTACTTACCTTAATCTAGAGTCAGTTCTGACATTCAGTCATGGTAAACATTTTGATAACACTGTAGATGCTTTGAACAGCACTGCAAAAGGATGACGCACTAGCATAAGGAATGAGGAAGTCGAATAAAAAAAAACAGGACTTTCTAAAACTGGAGTTCAAAAATGATTAATCTCTACAGAGAAAGTGGGGGTCCTAACTACCACCTGGAAGACCTGGTAGAGACCAAAACTGCCCCATCAGATAAACAGCACTTAAAGATCTCATCTTTGAGAGAGAGGAGAAAATCAAGCTGCTGTTTCGTAAAGTGTGTTTGGGATTACTTAGATCGAGAAAATACTAAACCAACTTCTAAGACTGAACTTTGGAGGTGTGTGCAGATTCTTTGAGGAACTGAAAGTGAGTCTCCTGAAAAGAATGGAAGCTGGAATAAAGAGCGGACAAACTAAACACTGATACATCTGATACTGTATTCAGTTGTTGAAGTTTCTATTAAAACCTCTTACATGGCCATTACACACCAGTGGGTACAAACTTTTATTCTTCTTTAACTTAATAATAACTCAGTCAGTTTGCAGTGTAGTTACTAAATAACACAACTTAAGATGTAATAAGAAAGTTAAGGATATTAACCCCTTAAAACCCAGGCTTATTAAATACTAAAGCATAATATTCAGTAACTACAAGGACTTCAACGCAAACAAGCTGAACTATTTTTAGGTTATAGACATCTGTAATAAAACTTTGGGCCCGCTTTGGTCATTTAAGCGGTTAAATCTAATCATAAACCCAAACTTAACCTTAATTTCGACTCAAAACCGAAATCTAATCTTTACCCTGACGCTTTTCTCATATGTAGAATATGTATGGGGGACTATCAAAATAAAGTGTGACCCATTTTACTTACCTTATAATTACTGCTGTCAGTCATCTATTGCTATGGAAACAGGGCTGTCCTGCTGGGAAACTGCAAAAGTTAAAGTTGGTTAGATAGTGTAGTCCAGGAATGGATTAGCCACAGCACAATGCATACAGACTGACCAACAGTAAGACCACTTTTACATTTAAAAAAAAATACTGAACTTTAATGGAATCAATCAGTTGAGACACTTTTGGTGTGTGAGGTTTGATTATTTAGTTGTAGAGCAAGGGAAAATGCATCCATTTCATCTGCAAGTCATGCAGTTTGGAAAGTAACTGCAGAAAATAACTGCAGTCAGCTTAAATAATTGCAGTTATCTCAAATAGCTGCGATCAGGTGACCATGTTGTAACTGTGACAGGCCTAGGGGTCACTTAAATAGAGAAATTTTAAAATCTGTCAAGCAGACAATGTGTGCAGCGCATTCATTCAGCCAGCAGGGGGCAGCAAGCGCTCACAGTTCAGATGTGTGCAACACTGCAGCATCCTGGTTTCACTTGGTTATTTTCCACTCCTAAGGCTGATCTAAGATCAGCAATCCTCACCACAAAGCACAGGGGGCAGTGTTTACATGCTCAATATCACTGCTCTCAGACAGAATGTGAATGACTGGCACTGAGTGACCTCTCATTAGGTCATTTGTAGCTGCCTTTCATGTCGCTGTTATTTTAAAGGGGAATTCCACCAATTTTTCATCTATTTCGTGTAATTCGGTGTTTGAGATGTGAAGAAAGTCATTCAGAGTGGTTTGATGTGAAATGGTTTATTCAAGAGAAACTGACTCAGATGTCCTTACAGTGGTGGTGATAGGAACCAGACATTTTATTTACTGTCCAAAACCACCAGTGAACCTACACGTTTCTTCTTTGATTTTCTTGTGCTGTTTATCTGATGGGGGCAGTTTTGGTGTCTACCAGGTCTTCCAGGTGGTTGTTAGGAGTCACATTTTGTCTGTAGCTTTAATTTTTTGAAATGCTGCCTGAAAAATGAATAACTTGTACTTGATGGCTGTTTTGACCATTTTGGAGTTTTGTACAGCACTGCAGCTTTTAGAGGCATTAAACTCTTCAGACGTCTGGTTCCTATCACCACCACTGTGAACAATTCTGACTCAGTAAGGCTAAGACACAAACACACACACACACACACACACACACACACACACACACACACACACACACATCCACTCACACACACACACACACACATCCACACACACACACATCCACACACACACACATCCACACACACACACACACACACACACACCATCTAAACCGCTTATCCTCCTGGGTCGCAGTGGGGTGCTGGAGCCTATCCCAGCTGTCGTTGGGCGGAAGACAGGATATACCCCCTCATTGAGTGTGCGCAACTCTGTGCGTGTGCGCTCTTAGCCATCAGTCGGGGTGGGGGTGTTGGTGGGGGCGAGTGTGTGACAGTAACTCTACTCTTTGAGGTAACACACTTAAGATAATGATGGAGAGAGGAGAGAGACAGATAGCCTGCAGAGACAGCGTGAGAAGTGGGCTGAATTTAGTCTCGGTTTAAATTACAGATTGACCAAATCACCACGTTGAGCCCGGACCGGCACACACCGGCACCGAATCAGGCGAATCTCTCAATACTGGATGAGTTGGAGCTGATTAGGTCACTAATTGATGGGGCTGAGGTTGATTAATTACATCTAAATTAATTACATGAAGCCACGTCTGGACTGAAATTCAATGATCTGATTAAAAAGGTGCAGCAAATAGAATTTTTAATTAAAAATTAGATGAAGGTTAAAATGCAATTAAATGATTAATAGTACCACAAAATGGAATTTTCCAAAGGTGATGGCAACTGAACTCAGAAATAAAGTATCGTTACGGATCCCAGTGGTGCTCAAGTATAATTTCTTTTGGGTAAAGTTTGAACCCCAGTGGGAACCCACCAGTTCGTCTAGGCCTGCAGGCGAGGCCTAATGATTTCCAGGAATTAAGACATATGAATCAGAATTTTTTTGTTTATTTTTATTTCATAGAATCATCATGTTTGTTGGATTTAAATCCTGCAAGTATTGTAGTAATGCATGTATTTTTATTAAGTCTTGACTAAAAATAAAAATGCTAAAATATTGAAATGCCCAAAAGAAATTAGTTCAGTTTAATTTGTTTCTTGGTGGTTTCCAGGTAGATACAGCCAAGCGAGCTCTCCCACTGGTTAGGACTTCAGGAGCTGGACTGAAGGCCCTACACGTTAGACTACCAACACAATAGGAAGCGACAGAGAAATCAACCAATCATGTTTTGATTTACACTGGGACCAAACATCACTTTAGGCCTTCTTGAAGTTCTGCATACGTCACTGATTTTAAATATGAGCAGCAGTCTAACCAGGTTGCAGGCAGTTTGTTAGGAATGGAAAACACTGACAGCAGGAATCTGTCACTGTAAAACTGATACATGCAAGCTCAAATATAGGTTAATGTCTGTTAAAAGCTTCAAACAAAACATTTTCAATGTCTTTTACAAGCTTCAAATGTCATGTTTAAACTGTTCACTTAGTGCTAACATACCATTAGAAATCCCATAGGTGGGCAGCAGAAATTAGCATTGTGGTAAAGGTATTTTTAGGAGTTTTAACATTTATGGCCTAAACTGAACTGAAAAAATGAGATAAAATAAAAAATCTGCCAGGACTCTATGGCTGTTTCGCTTACCCACAGTGCCTTCCTGCTCCCAGCATTCAGCACCATTCGCCATGATCAGATGGTGGGTTGTGGTCCGTCTTAGGGGAAAAGAGTGGCCATCGCCTTGACTACAAAGAAAACAAAAAGTGTATTTAAAACCAGGCTGTTTTTCAATCTCTGAATTTGCTTAAAGTGCTCTTCACTAGCGGTCAGTCAATGTATCCTACACTTGGAACGCACAGAGATCTCAAAAAGTACTTCAGATCGAAATAAAATATTTTATTTATTATTAAAAACAAACATCCTTCTACTAGTGGGTTGTCATGTATGTTGCAGCATCAGTTACTCTCTCTTGTCCACTAAGCAAGGCTTAAATATAGAGCTAAATATCTAATCTAAAGGGGAACTCCACCGATTTTGCAAAATTATTGAATCATTCAATGGTTTTTACAAAGACGTAAAAAAAAAATCATTCAGAGTGGTTTGGTGTGAAATGTGCCTTTTTAGAGAAATTTACAGTCAGAATTGTTCACCACTGTAGTACTAGGAACCAGACGTCGTTATGTCTACACTACAAATATCACCATTTTATCTGCTATCCAAAATGGGCCGTGACCTTGCATGTGTCTTATATGTGTTTATATGTAACGTTGATAATGGTAAAATAGTGCTAAATTTGAAAAAATATGTTTTCTTTGGGTACTATTTTTTCCTTACAACACCCTGCGTGCATCTCTCCACCCCGCATGCAGTTTGTACTGTTTGTGTAGGTGTTGTTGCGTCACATGGTGTCAGCAAAACTCGTTTTTCGTAACGTTATTCATCAGGGGAGCTGCGATAGATCACAGCGTGGTGGTGAACTGTGCTGAACCAGGACGCAAAAATAAATGGAGAAAATACAGGATGGTGCGTTTTCCAGTTGCCGTTACAAGTAACAGAAATACTAAATTGTGGCTAATTGTTTTGAAGCTACACACAAATACCGAAGTCGAACAGCTTCACTGATGAAGACTAACGTTTCTCGAGACCAGTGAAAAAATGCAAAGCGGATTTCTTCAAATGCGGCGGCTAAAGAGAGAAAGAGAACGGCTGTTCCCTCTGTTGCATTTTCCGCCACAGAAACTGGAAACAAGGTAAGAAACGTTTGTGAGTGAAATAAATTAGTCTTCCAAAAATATGTAAGAAAACTGTAAAAATAAATGCTAAACAAAACAGCTGGCGTTGGCTGTACTGAACAGCTGTAGTTACAGGCTAGTAACAATATATTAAAAATAAGTTTTAGGTAAAAACTTTATAACAAAACTAACACAAAACAGTGTCTCAGGTCTCAAGTAACACATTCATAACCATTTTTTGTAATAACTTACTGGGATGTAGCTTTTAGAGCCATAAAGTGCTTCGGACGTCTGGTTCCTAGTACTACAATGGTGAACAATTCTGACTCAATAAATTTCTCTAGAAGGGCACATTTCACACCAAACCACTCCAAATGATTTTATTTACATCTAAACTATTCGATGATTGAGTAATTTTGCAAAGTCGGTAGAGTTCCCCTTTATTAGCATAAGGTTTTAATGCTAATTTTTCTACTAGTCTTTTTTTTCAGCAGGATTCTCTCTAAATGAAGTTAATGTGGCTAAAAGCCAGTGGGAATCAGGTGGCATAGTCCAGTTAGCATACAAGCTAACTGGCCCCTGCTAGCTTTCAGTCATTGATATGCTAGCTGTGTACCTACGTTAGCATTTTGGTATCTCTTTCACTGCAACAGGAGAAGATACTCAGCATGGGTCTCAGATAAAGAGGGAGACTCCAAAACTGAAGCAGACGTGCTCTGAACACCACCTAATGCTAATAACTACCACTAGTAGTACTACTCAAACAACAATTAGCCTTTTAGCGTTTTTAGCATTTTTAGCACTTATAATGATCGAGCAATCAGTGCTAAACGCTTTATTTTTATACCCTTACCCTTTATACCCTTAGATTTGCTAAGGGTTTCAGTGAATGTACAAGGGGAGCAATGACCTGCTGGAAACAGGAAGTAGCCAGAGTCTCCAGTCCAGGCCAAACACCTGGAGGATGTTCTCTCTTACGCTCACATCAAATGCTCCGCCATCCGGGCCGTCTGGGAAAAATGGGGCTGATAACCACTCTGAGAGAGATTATTAGTGAGTTAGAGCGATGAAACATTGAAGTTTTGTTACTTCACAATAATGTAGAAATCACTGAGTGAATATAATGTGTAAAATTACATGAAAAGACAATGTTCCGCTCTGGAACTGTAGACAAATGACACTAGCACTACATCAGTGCTTCACCCAGAGCATTCATGAAGCTGGGCGAAGGTCCGATTAGCATTAAAGGGGCTAAAATGAAGAAGGTAACCATCATTATGTTCATTGTAAACATGTCTGGGTCGTTCTCCATTTGGAGTGAGATTTCAGGTGGATACATTTTTTAAAATTCAGTTTCTTTCATCCCAAAACTAAATAATCTAAATATGTCCATTAACAGCGCTGTCGCCTCACAGCAAGGAGGGCCTGGGTTCGATTCCCGGGTCTGGCGACCAGGGTCCTTTCTGTGTGGAGTTTGCATGTTCTCCCCGTGTCTGCGTGTGTTTCTTTCAGGTTCTCCGGTTTCCTCCCACAGCCCAAAGACATGCAGTCAGGCCAATTGGACACGCCAAATTGCCCCTAGGTGTGAGTGTGTGTGTGAATGTATATGTCTGTCTGTCTATCTGTCTGCCCTGCAATGGACTGGTGACCTGTCCAAGGTGTATCTTGCCTTTCACCCAATGACTGCTGAGATAGGCTCCAGCTCCAAAGATCCAAAGAAGCAGCTTAATAGAGCTGAAAATACTGTGTTAAAATGTAAAATAATATTCCTGATAACACCAGTGACCAAAATCTCTGTGACCAGTGAATTTTTTATAAAATACATGTTTTTTTTTAAACATAGTAAAACCTTAATTATATAAAAAGTAAACATGAATCTGTTTTATACAAATTTCTAAGTTAAACCTCTTAAAAATATTGTTTTATATTAAGAATGGTTTGAAAACTGGTTTTGTGACGAGCTGTTTTATAGATGCAGAGCGACTATGAAACAGGATAAAAAGAAAAATCAGAGAATCATAAGGGAAAAGTGTTATTTAATCTTAGCTCAACTGTGTAAATGTACATACTGACTTTTGGAGCTGTGCCTAATATTTTGAGCATCTTTTTAAGCCCTAAGACCTTTGTAACACGGTTTCCCCCCAAATGGAGAATGACCTGTCTACTTGACTTACACAGTGGTGCCACAGTGAGAGTGGTGCCACAGTGAGAGTGGTGCCTAGTTTAAAGACTAGGAAAACCCCTTCTAATGATGAATCTTGAAGGTGGGAGGAACTTTTGTACTACAGCTGCTTTGGGGATGATTTTTAGGGACTGACTGTTTGGAATGCTTCCCCCCTACTGCGTAGCTAATGCAGAAGAAAGGCAGATCACTAACATTAGTGCTACACAGTCAAATATCACATCTCTATTTATTAGCCTCTACATCAGTTGACTTCTTTATAGCTGTGGTGGTCCCGATGGTTGTATGTCATATTTGTGCAGTGCATGATGGGTATTGTAATGAGAGAACATTCATGGATGAAAGACATGAATTTGGTCAAATGAGGGACATGATTTTTGACAAACAACATATAAAAGTCCAATCGTAGGCCAAATTTCCCCTTTAACGCTAAATGGCATTAATGCTAAATGGTTTTCAAATCATTATCATCAATATTTTTGGGTGTAGTACTGTTTATCAACAGAAGTTCCAGGGGATGCACTGAGAGCACGTACCAAGGGTGGTTTTGTTGGTGGCGACCAGCCAGCAGTGGAAGAGCAGCAAACAGGACAGGGTCACCAGAAAGATGGCCGACACCAACGTCAAGAACAGCACATGCAGCTTAGCTGAACTGTCAAACAGCCCGGACTGAGGATGAGAGAGAGAAAGCGAGAGAACAGACCCAGAACGTGCAGAAGTAAGTGAGCATTTGATCAATCCTTTGTAACATATTCAAAAGTTCACTTTGGGTCACTGTGGTAACACTGGCCTAGACCAGGTTCTGTGGTTCTTCAGTGCTGGTTCTGGAGGGATGGTGTCCAGCACAGTTTGCTCAAACATACCTGGCTCAAGTGTTAAATATCAGGTTTTAGCAGGGAACCGAGCGTTGTCAAACACCAGCCCTCCAGGTCAGGAAGTGAAGATCCCCGGCCTAAACTAAACCTTGAAACATCTCGGCCAAAAGCTCAAAGCTACACAACTCAGTTGAGATTCTTTCTACCAAGCTGCATGGGTACAGTAGCACAATACTCCACTAGAATTGCAATAATTGGTCAACAAAGTTGATAAATCGTCAATAACGTTAATGCTAGAAAAAACATTGATGCATCAGTAAAAAACAAAAAATAAAACAAATTCCCCCAGTAATGCTCTGTAGTGTTCATATAGTACACATTGACATTCTGACAGACTATAGGAGGAATAGAGGGTGACTGATATATCGCTGTAATCAGAAGACTACATGATAAATGGTAGCTTTACAGGAGAAGGAATAACCCTATTTTACTTTTAATGTAAGTCAATGGAACCAAAATGTTTTCCGAGTAATTTAGGGTAATTTCTTTTAGTCCATTTATCATGATATATATATATTTCGCCTTCTTCTGTGAAGTTACCATTTTGGAGAAAAAAGTTTGTGCACCCCTGGTCAAAGTAAGTGCACATTTTATTGCACAGTTACTGTTTACTTGATGAATTTAGCATATTTTTAAAAATACACCATAAAACATGGCATAAACATTTTTTCAATATGTTAAACTCAGCAAATAAAAAGAAATTGTGCACTAAAATTAGCATATTTTGTATGCTAGTTTGTTCTCTGTAGAGGACGTGTTCACTTTTTTCTTTTAGAAATAAAAAAAAAATATATATAATTTGACAGGCGTTGTTCAAAAATATGGTTGCAGCCCTCCTCCGCTAAACATGTTGCTTCAAATCTTGGATGCTGAACCTGAACATCTGAGGGAGCCACTTTTACTGTGAGCCAAGGAGTAACGGCACTTTGTCACTTAAATTCTCTGCTAATCTAATCTGCATTAGTACATTAGCACGGTTTTCAGGTGATGTTCTACCTCTAATGGTAAAAACAAACTCTTGATAATTTTAAGTGCCACTAAATGATAAAAACGTGGACATCACTCACCAGCCACAGGTGAATGAAGGAGGGCGTAACTGTGGTGACAATGCAGAGGCAGTACAGTAGGGAATACAGGAGGAAAAGCAGGAAGAACTTGTAGTTGGAGAATCCGATACAGTTATTCAACCTGCACAGACACAGACAGTAAAACAGAGGTTGTTACTGCAATATTATTGTATTATATTATATAATATTACATAATATTACATAATATTATATTATATTATATTATAAAGTTTTAACCAGTTTTACATACCAGAGACAGTGATGATCCATTTTCAACACACAACTGCAGAGAGAGAATATTTTAGTTTTAATATAGTTTTTATAATACATAATGAGGAAGTGACAGAGAAATCAATTATGAAGTTTTGATTTACAATGGGTGTTGATTTTGAATTCTATGTCATTCTGGAAGTTCTAGATATGCCACTGACTGTGAATGCAGGCCGCAGTCTAAGCAGGTTCCGGGTAGTTGTTAGGAATGGAAAGGAATGGTGGCAGGACTCATTACTGAGCCACTGTAAAACTGATACATACAAATTCAAGTAATGTCTAACAAACTTCAAATACAACATATGGAATGTCTTTTACAAGCTTCTGATGTCTGTGTTTAATCTAAAATGGCCAAAGAAATCTTCATGTGCATTGCCATTAGCTTAACACTTACACTAGTAGACTACACAACTAGAACAAATTAGAACAGAAATTAGCATTATTGTAGATGTAGTTTCCCGCAGTTTTTGACCAAAATTCTGACAATTATGTCCCAAATTAAAGGCCTAGCTCTAACAGTCATGGCTCAATTGGTCAATAATATTGTTGATATTGATGACCCTCAGTTTTAACAGTATCAGATTCAATGAGCCTTTTACAAACTTCAAAAATGTCTTCAAATATATGAGTTTAAACTAGAAATGCCAAAAAAAGGTTTTTATGCACAAGCATTAGCTTAGTGCTAACATACTATTAGAAATCCCATAGAGGCACTACCAGGAAATCTGGGTGCCCATGATCAAATAACATTGATTTTCTAAGTGAAAATAAGTAAAGTTAATCAGTTAAGAAAATAAATTATTTGCTGAATTTGAGAACAACAAATTGAGGCCTGTGCAAAAGATAAGACACATTTTATATTTTATGTTTTATTCCTTTCCAATGTGTTAAACTCAGCAAATAAAGTTAAAAAATGTGCACTGAAATTTAAGTGAAATTGCAAATTTAGACACTTTTCCTGTAGAGGACGTGTTAGTTATCTTTTCTACAGAACCTGTCATTTGACCAGGGGTGTTCAAACTTTTGCTTACGACTTTATCGTAGCATTATTGTAGAGGTGTGGATTTTCTTGTTTTTTGATTAAGTTTTGACATTTATGCCTAAACCAATGGCCTAGCTCTGATAGCCAAAGTTCACAACTGGTTTACACAATAAATCCATGTGCAATATGTTTAAAATATCCTTATAATGTAAAGATTTTTGCTTTTTTATTTATAGTGTTTATATTGTTAATTCATCACCATACCCATGGGCAATCTAATAAATACTCCACGTGCAATATTTCCATGTGCAGTACATGTAAAACATAGTGCAAGGATTTTTTTGCTTTTTTGATTTTAGTGTTTATATTGTTAATTTTGTGAAGGATAGAGTTTTTTTTTTGTTTTTTATCTTTACTATTATATATATTGTCTAAACAGTAATAAATAGCAAACTGTAACCGTGTTAAGTACTTTCATTGTTTGTTAATTCTCTTCTTATCCTTATTATCCTCTTTTCTTGAGGGCCTTGCTCTCCTTTTGCTGCTGTAGCACTGATAATTTCCCTATAATGGAATTAAAAAAGGATGATCTTATCTTAAACAGTAAACATTTTTAATGCTGGTGATAATCTAAGATTTACATTTAATTTGTACATTTTATTTATTTTATTTAATGTAAATGAATGTAATTTGTAATCTAATACGGAAATGCACACGGTTCAGTAAAATATCCATCTGTGTGGTAGCCGTGCTGACTCGATTTCAGTGCGCATTTAAGCACTTTGAGTCCAGCTGATCTTGTGACTTGTATGAATGAGTTTGTGGAGGACGAGAGAGTCTTCCATCCGATCACTGTAGCTCTGTGGTCACAGGAACTACTCTCATCTCATTAAAGAGTAATGCGGAGTGTACCTCACACACACGCGCGCATCTGGACGTTAATCAAAGGCAGGTAACCGGAGAGGACAGTGAGTGCGGCTCATTTGAGAGCTTTCTTTCAGCCCACTCAAATAAATGTGACTAAGCACTTCAGCAACATCCTGTAATGCTTCCTCTCTCTCTCTCTCTCCCTCACCCACACTCACACTCTCAACATGCCTAATGCATTAATGTCCTAAACAGATTGACATACATTAAAGCAAACATACCTGCATGCTCCAATGCACATGCAATACTGTGCAAAAGTTAGAGACCACACTTCATTAATTTTCAGTCAAAACAGCAATTAAGTATAAGTTATTTAGTATTTAAAGTGTCCACTCTTCACTTCCATTCCAGCTTCCATTCTTTTCAGGAGACTCACTTTCAAAGAATCTGCAGACACGCCTCCAAAGTTCAGTCTTAGAAGCTGGTTGATCATTTTCTGAAGTAATCAAACACATTCAGTGGTGTTGAGGTCTGGACTCTGGGGTGGTCAGTCCATCGTTCAGCTTCTTTGTTTGATGTGTCCGTCTCCTTTTCTCAGTGAGGTTCTTCTTGACAGCTACACATCCATTTCAGACCCATAGCGCTGAGTCGTCTTCTCACAGTGGAAGGATGGACAGAAACACCTGTGGTTGTTTTCAGATCTGAAGCAGCTTGATTTTCTCCTCTCTCTCAAAGATGAAAGCTTTAAGTGCTGTTTATCTGATGGGGGCAGCTTTGGGGTCTAGCAGGTCTTCCAGGAGGTTGTTAGGAGTCTTGTTTCTCTGTAGCTTTTAATCATCATGATCATCATCATTATTCATCATTAAAAGGAATAACTTGTACTTAATGGTTGGTTTTGACTGGAACCTAAATGAATGGTGGTCTCTGACCTTTACACAGAACTGTTTCACACTAACAAAAACACAGGTTTCTTACATTTGGCAGGCTGAACAGTGATGGCAACGATCTGGCTTAATCAGCTGGCAGTGTCGACAAAACCTGAAAGCTGAGAAACACACACACACACACACACACACACATACACACATCCCTCAGGGTTTAGAAATGTATTCCTGTTTGTCTCACCCCACCTGATACCCTCAGATTAGCACGGTGCTAACTGCACGTCTAGATCATCACACACTCGCCTCAAGCTGTGAGGAGTTGTTCAGTATCTCTAATAGACTTGATTATGTGGTTACTGTATCTCTAAATATGGACAAAAGCACACACAAAATTCAGATTTCAAAAAAGGCTGCAGCTGTTTTTAGCACTGTGGGTATTTTTGTTGACTTCTGAAAACAGCTTCAAATCTCTTTCAAAAACTCCAGAGCTCTTTTTCCGACTTACTGTGAGCTGTGAATATGCCATAATTAGATCTGCCATAATTAGAGCTTTTAACTGTCTGGATATCTTTGAGTTGTCATTGTTTACTGCAAAGTTTCCAAAAAGACCTCTGCAGTGAGAAACTGTGGTCTAACAGTTCACAGAGCAGCAGGAAAATCCCTTCTTGGATCAAGAGAAGTCCGTTCAAAAAGGTGAGTATATTTTAATACTACCTCTTTTTTTATATGGTGAATTCACTGAGTTACTCAGTGACTCACTGAGTGACTTCTGAGCCTGTACTTTTGAGTTTTGCAGTCTGAAATTTTGTAGTAAATAAATTCACATGGACTTGTTGCAGGGATAGTGCATTCCTTTTTGTTTTTTTTTGTTTTTTTTGCCTTGCTGTATTGCAGTGAAGTTTGTAAAGGTTAGCATTTGCAGTGATTGTTACACTATTAGCCTGACAAAATTCTGTGAACACCTGACTGCAGCCCCACAGTTTGGTTTTTCCAACTTGATTATAGTCTGACAAAAGTTTTTCCCAATTTGAGTGAAGCCCAATAAAATTCTCTCTGATCCCAACTGTAGCCTGACAGAATTTTGTCTCAGAACTAAATAAAATTTCTACCCGAAGCTGACTATATTCTGACAAAATTCTGTCCCAACTTAACTGTAGCCCAACAAAATTCTGTCCAAACCCAACTGGAGCTTGACAAAATTATTTCAGAACTTGACTGCAGCCCACAAAAATCTGTCTGAACCCGACTGTAGCCCAACACAATTCTGTCTGAACCCGACTGTAGCCCAACAAAACTGTCTGAATCCAACCATAGCCCAACAAAACTCTGTTTGAACCCACCCATAATCCAATAAAATTTTGAGTGAATCCGACTGTAACCTGACAAAATTGTCTGAATCTGACTGTAACCCATCAAAATTCTGTCTGAATCCTACTGTAGCCCAAAAAAACTGTTGGAACCCATCTGAAATCAAATAAAATTGTTTGAATCCAACTGTACATAATCCAACCCGACAAAGTTGTCTGAAACCAACTGTAACATGACAAAGTTCTGTCTGAATCTGAAGGTTACCCAACAAAATTCTGTCTGAATCTGACTGTGACCCGACAAAAGTCTGTCTGAATCTGAATGTAACCTGACAAAATTTTGTCTGAATCCAACTGTAACCTGAAAAAAACCTGTCTAAACCCAAATGTAGCCCACAAAATTCTGTCCGAATCCGACTGCAGCCCACAAAATTCTGTCTGAACCCAAATGTAAACCTACAAAATTCTGTCAGAACCCAACTATAGCCAACAAAATTCTGTCCCAACCTGACAGTAGCCAGACAAAATTCAGTCCCAACCTGATTGTAGACCAGCAATATCCTGTTCCAATTTGACTGTAGCTGACAAAAATTGTGTGAACCTGATTTTAGCTCAACATGATTTTCTTTCTGACTCTGAACCTCACAAGATTTCTATCAGAACCTGTCTATAGTCTAACTAAATTCCATCCCAAACCAACTATAGCTCGACAAAATTCTGTCCCAATGTAACTGTAACCCAACAAAATTCTTTGCCAACTCGACTGTAGCCAACAAAATTCTCCAAACCTGACCTGAACACAACCACCACCTATAGACCAAATAAAACATGACATTCCTAATGACACTGACAGTTACATTACCGTGTAGCTTGAAAATATCCACCTATCCACTTTAACTAAAGCAAGGATGAATGCAGGTCAAAATCAATTTGACAAATGATGTCTGAACCCAACCAAATCTGACATAAACAGTAATGAATTATTGGGATTAACTGATTAATCTATCAACTATTACTCTATTTTTCAAAACCATTATGCCTTCTGCTGATTCCTCACACTTTGCTCCTGTCACAGCACCAGAGTAATCATTGCAGCCCGACAGAACAGAGACGAAAAACAGGTACAAAGTCTCAGCACAGCCATTCTGAATAAATAAAACTCTCAAAAAGCAGGCAGGGGAGTCACGTTGCAGCACCCTGGAGGAACAGGGGGTTAAACGCTCAAAGGAAGGGCAGAGACATTAGAACCAGCTGCCCTCCCCTGACCAAGTCAACAACCCCGCTGCCTTGAGCAATTTGAGCCAGTAGCCCTTCTGTTCCTAATGAGGAGTTCTGGCTATTACCACCTGATTCTGAGATAGCAGTCATGCTGGATGTTCCTGAAGATGTAAAAAATGCATCAGTGCCTCGTGATGAATCGATCTGAAGGTGGTGATTCAACTGTTTCCACCTGAGGATGTTACAGTCATGTATAATCAATTCGCAACTATGCAAACTACTTTGTCAGGCTACAGTTAGGAAGGGACAGAATTTTGTCAGGGTACTGTCAGGTTCAGAAAGAATTGAATTGAGCTACAGTCAGATTGGGACAGAAGAATTCTGTATGGCTACAGTTGGGTTCAGACAGAATTTGGATGGCCAAATTAGGGTTCAGTTAGAATTTTGTCAGGTTACTATCAGGTTCAGACAGAATTTTGTTGGGCTACAGACTGATTCAGGCAGAATTTCAGTCAGATTCAGACAGAATTTTCTTGAGCTACAGTCAGATAGGGACAGACAGAATTTTCTTGAGCTACAGTCAGATTGGGACAGACAGAATTTTCTTGAGCTACAGTCAGATAGGGACAGACAGAATTTTCTTGAGCTACAGTCAGATAGGGACAGACAGAATTTTCTTGAGCTACAGTCAGATTGGGACAGACAGAATTTGTTAGGCTACAGTCGGATTGGGAAAGACAGAATCTGTTAGGCTACAGTCGGATTGGGACAAACAGAAGTTTGTTGAGTTACAGTCAGATTGGGACAGAAGTTTGTTGGGCTACAGTCGGATTGGGACAGACAGAATTTTGTTTGGCTAGTCGGATTGGGACAGACAGAATTTTGTTGGGTTACAGTTAGATTGGGACAGACAGAATTTTGTTGGGTTACAGTCGGATTGGGACAGAATTTTGTTGGGCTACAGTCGGATTGAGACAGACAGAGTTGTTGGGTTACAGACGGATTGGGACAGACAGAATTGTTGGGTTACAGTCAGATTGGGACAGACAGAATTTTGTTGGGTTACAGACGGATTGGGACAGACAGAATTTTGTTGGGCTACAGTCGGATTGGGCACAGACAGAATTGTTGGGTTACAGACGGATTGGGACAGACAGAATTGTTGGGCTACAGTCGGATTGGGACAGACACAATTTTGTTGGGTTACAGTCAGATTGGGACAGACAGAATTGTTGGGCTACAGTCGGATGGGGAGAGACAGAATTGTTGGGCTACAGTCGGATTGGGACAGACAGAATTTTGTTGGGTTACAGTCGGATTGGGACAGACAGAATTGTTGGGCTAGTCGGAAAGTGTAACTACTTCTAAGACTGGACTTTGGAGGTGTGTCTGCAGAAACTGAGAACCTGAAAGTGAGTCTCCTGAAAAGAACGGAAGCTGGAATAAACGTAAACACTCAAACATCTGATATTAGATTTAGTTGTTTAGACCTCTGTGTTATTCTATGTCAAATATATGTTTTCTGCTTTTTTCCCAGATGTTGAAATACGAATAACTTTCACTTAATGGCTGTTTTGACTGGAAATTATATAAGTGAAGGGTGTTCTCTGACTTTTACATAGCACTGCCAGTCAAATATGACATTTTCTTCTTATCTGATTAACATTTTATTTATTGATTCCAGGAGGTATAACTGAGACTGATGCCTCATTCTCAGTGAGGTCTAATTCTGGTAGAATGGCTCATGCAAATAAATAAATAAATAAAGACTAAAGACTAAAAATTAACTGTGCTGCAGCATCAGCAGACAATCCTGTGTCTAAGTGTATCGTGTAACCTATAGGGTGTTTGTTTGTTTGTTTGTCCTGCTTGTTGAGTCTATTTACCTCCGGTCGCTGTGCGTGTGTGTAACGGAAGCTCGTGTGCAATCTTGTCGAGGATTTCCCCCTTCAGCTCTACACTGTCCAGCAGATCATAGTGCTGAGTGTCCGGGAGGTGGAACTACAACACACACACACACACATACACACACACACACACACACACACACACACACTTAAGCAGATTGCAGTAGGTGAAGTAGAGGTTTTGTTTTACACTCATTTGTAGCATCACTCTTCGGAGGCGGTAAACTTTAGACTTTGATTAATTGGATGGGATATTGCCCCTGCTGATGCCCCCCCTGAACTGCACAGCTTTGAGTTTTCTCTGCGCTGACACACACATGTCAGGCTCTCACTCACTGACCATTCTGTGGGGTGACAGTCGGGTTCAGACTTCAATTCTGTCAAGGATAAGTTGTTAAACTGGGACAAAAACAAAAAGCTGTGCAGCTCTGTGGAAAGCAGGGGCAGTAATTGAGCCGTCAATGTCAACTGCATTAGTAATCAAGTAATCTAGCAATTTTTCTGACATGTAATCTTATTTTAATGGTCTGTACAGGCCAGCTCTGCTTAAACATGAACGTGTGAAGCATTTAAAACTCGTAACAGACATTTACAGTATATTTTTTGTCATTTGTAAGCTTCAGTTTTATAGCTGTCTGTTCAGCTTTTCGGCCCAGACCTACTTACACTGATCAGGCATAACTTTATGACCACTTCCTTGTTTCTACACTCATTGTCCATTTTATCAGCTCTACTTACTATATAGGTGCACTTTGTAGTTCTGTTAGCCCCCTTTTACCCTGTTCTTCAGGACCCTCATCAACTGTGTGAGTGTCAGATAATTTCAGAGTCCTGTAACTGTAAAGCTGCTGAAGTGCATCTCCATTATCAGAAGTTCTTCTGGTGCTGATGTCAGCCCAGCAGAGTGTGTAAGAGGAACGTTCCTACCGTGGAGGAAGGACTCGAGGGTCCGGTGGAGAGAGTTTTCCAAAAACACCAGCAGAACATCAGAAAACACACATGGAACACTGACAGGTACACTACTGAGAGAGAGAGAGAGAGAGAGAGAGAGAGAGAGAGAGAGAGAGAGAGAGAGAGAGAGAGAGGAGAGAGAGAGAGAGAGAGAGAGAGAGAGAGAGAGAAAAAGAGAGAGCGAGAGAGAGAGATGAGAGAGAGAGATGAGAGATAGTTCAATTGACTTGTTGCTAAGTACTGAAGCAGACTGAGTGAATGTAAAGTGAATGTATGGTGCGGGTTAAAGGTTAAAGGTGTGGCACTGTGATGCTCTTACCTCTGTGTGTGCTGCACTTCAGAGTGACTGCAGAGAGAAACACAGCAGCACCATCACTCAACACAGGCTGAACTGACTATTCCCTCAACATCAACAGAGATGATAATCTACATCAGTACAGAATATCTACAACATCAGCACAGATGATAATCTACAACATCAGTACCGATAATAATCTACAACATCAGTACAGATAATAATCTACAACATCAGCACAGATAATAATCTACAACATCAGTACAGATCATAATCTACAACATCAGCACAGATAATAATCTACAACATCAGTACAGATGATAATCTACAACATCAGTACAGATCATAATCTACAACATCAGCACAGATCATAATCTACAACATCAGCACAGATAATAATCTACAACATCAGTACAGATAACAAGCTATAACATCAGTACCGATAATAATCTACAACATCAGCACAGATGATAATCTACAACATCAGTACAGATAATAATCTACATCAGCACAGATAATCTACATCAGCACAGATGATAATCTACAACATCAGTACAGATAATAATCTACATCAGCACAGATAATCTACATCAGTACAGATGATAATCTACAACATCAGTACAGATAATAATCTACATCAGCACAGATAATCTACATCAGTACAGATGATAATCTATAACTTCAATACAGATGATAACCTACAACATCAGTACAGATAATCTACAACATCAGTACAGATAATAATCTACATCAGCACAGATAATAATCTACATCAGCACAGATAATCTACATCAGTACAGATGATAATCTATAACTTCAATACAGATGATAACCTACAACATCAGTACAGATAATAATCTACAACATCAGTACAGATGATAACCTATAACATCAGTACAGATGATAACCTACAACATCAGTACAAATACTAATCTATAACATCAGTACAGATGATAATCTATAACATCAGTACAGATGATAATCTATAAGATCAGTACAGATGATAATCTATAACATCAGTACAGATGATAACCTACAACATCAGTACAAATAATAATCTATAACATCAGTACAGATGGTAATCTACAACATCAGTACAGATGATAATCTACAACATCAGCACAGATAATAATATATAACATCAGCACAGATAATAATCTACAACATCTCAGATAATAATCTACATCAGTACAGATAATAATCTATAACATCAGTACAGATAATAATATATAACATCAGTACAGATGATAATCTACAGCATCTCAGATGATAATCTACAACATCTCAGATAATAATCTCCATCAGTACAGATAATAATATATAACATCAGTACAGATGATAATCTATAACATCAGTACAGATGATAATCTACAGCATCTCAGATGATAATCTACAACATCTCAGATAATAATCTCCATCAGTACAGATAATAATATATAACATCAGTACAGATGATAATCTATAACATCAGTACAGATAATAATATATAACATCAGTACAGATGATAATCTACAACATCTCAAATAATAATCTACAGCCGTACAGATAATAATATATAACATCAGTACAGATGATAATCTACAACATCAGTACAGATGATAATCTATAACATCAGTACAGATAATAATATATAACATCAGTACAGATGATAATCTACAACAAACAACTGAACAATTAAAATCAATATAAACACACAAACAAGAACAATATCTAAAAACAAACAGTTACAACTACTACTACTAATAATGATAATGCTGAAATAGTGCTGAGTCAAGTTTAATCTCAGTTATGCTTCTGTTTCCCAAATGTGACCCAATAATTAAGACGTACATTTTGAGAAATGTCTCAGCAAAACGGGTTCTAGATAGTACCAAAAGTGTTCTTTGCCTTGTAACAATAGTGGAACCCTTTTTGGTGCTATATAGAACCCTTTCCAAAAAGGTTTTATGTAAAACCATCTACAGCACATTCTTAAAAACCTTTCACAATGCAAAGAACCGTTTAAGCATGCAAAGGGTTCTTTGAGTGTTTATGGTTCTACACAGGAGCATTTTCTTTACTAAAGGGTTCTTCCATTGTTATGATGTCAAGCTTATAACAACTGAAGAACCCTTTGGGTGCTATACAGAACCCTTGTCAGAAAGGTCCTATATAGAACAACCTACAGCACTTTCTCCATTAATCTGAGGAAACCATTTTATGATGCAAAGAACTCTTTAATCATGCAAAGGGTTCTTTGAGTGATCATGGTTCTATATAGAACCATTTTTTTTTACTAAAGAAACATCATCTTTTTTAAGTGTGTAACAACAGAGGAACCATTTTTGGTGCTATATAGAACCCTTTTCAAAAAGGTTCTATATAGAACCATCTACAGCAGATTCCTAAGAACCCTTTAATTATGCAAAAACACTTAGAGCAAAAAGTTCTTTTTGTGCTCATGCTTCTATATAGAACCATTTTCTTGACTAAAGAACCCTTAAAGAACCATCATTATGAGAGTAAATTAAACTTACACAGACAGAGCTGAATGACATAAGCGTAGTAGGACCACACGACCACGGCGGTCACTATCAGTACCGGAACCCACCGGAGAACCTTCATACTGGAACAGCAGCAGCTTCTAACCTGCCGCGGCGAACAGGGCTGATTTAGGCTTTTAAAACCCACCCGTATTCCGGCAGGCCCCGCCCTTTGCGCCTCTATTGGTTAGTTCATTTTTTTTTAACTGCCACAAAAAAATGTAACGAGAGGTACAAATAACATTCAATTACCGACAGTATACATACATTTACTGCCGGAAGTGCGTAGAGAAAATAAAAAGAATAATGAATTAATAATAAATAAATAAATGACAATTCCATCAAATGATATTCAATTCTTTGAACGCATTGATTGTCTTTAGTGCTTTATTTCACGAGTATCGTATAAAAATACTGCATTAAAAACTGCACACAATTAGCTACAGAGACCATTTAATACTTTATGAATATGAAATCTCTCTTCTGTGTGATATACTAATTTATAATTCTCTCCAAACTCGGCAAATCTAAAATAAGCATCGAACATATCAACCCATACGATATTCCCAAGATTTTTCCTAATAGCTTTGCAAATCTATCCAAAACACTCCTTTGTAAACACAGAAACAAATCATTTCTCTAAACCACAAAAATATACATATGTACATCAAATATTTCTATAACATGTTTCAGCGGATACATTCTGTGTAATTATCTTATCAATACACTATTATTTGAGATTTTCCATTGCAAGATGACCAAAAATATCTCACAGCAGGGAATCACATTATAAAGAACATGTCTAACCTTATTACTACTTATTTTCAACAATATCAACACTGCCAAAAAGATGTTGCCAGAATTATCAAACATACTTAAGTCAGTTAAACAAAAGGTCCTAAAAATGATGATATACATTTGGGGTTTGCATCAAATTCAGCTCAGTTCTTTTGGCTTTGACAACATCTGGCCATCTGCATTAAACAGCTGCCCTGCCAGGAGAAGCACAGCATCAAAAACACTGATGTAACAGCGTTACATACCTGTGTGGTGAAGTTATGTTTGTACTGGATAGTTCACTCGCAATCCGCGCTTGGTTGAAGCCCCGCCCATCCTATGACGGACCGTTCATGCCCCGCCCCTCCGGCGCTACTATTGGCTCGTAGCTCATACTGACAGGCTGCCTAAAAGACCAAGACCACCAGCATGCTGTTTGCTGACCAATCCCAGCGCAGATGGGCGGGGTTTATCACGTTTTCGCTTGCTGCCTATTAAAAACTAAGCCACAGCGCCGCCTAGTGAAAACAAAACGCCAGCGTTTGTGGTACATTTTTATTTATTAAAGTCTTACAATCACAAAATCACACAGACAGACACAAAACCAAAACAAACACATTACCCAGCTGTCTCAGCAGCTCAGACTGATACTCAGCCTGTTATTCAGCTTGTTGTAAACATGTTAAGGAGATCAAAACACAAAAAAAAAAAAAAGGAAAAAAAAATTATATATGTATGTGATATATATATATATATATATATATATATATATATATATATATATATATATATATTTGTACTCTTTCGTCTTTGGCTGTGTCTTATGACACTTCTGTGCACATGCAGTGTTAGACTAGTCCACAGGTTTTACTTCAAGTTTACATTCTTTTTAATTCTTCTATGAGGTAGAAAACACTCCAGCTGAGACCCCTCAGGCAGGACCCCTCAGTTAAACACGCGGCCCACCACAGAACAGAACTGTTCACACTAATACTCTGAGCTTCTGAAAACAGGTTTAAGTAGGATTGTGCCAACAATGAGAGCTAATAACTAACATTTCAGTTCACTCTTGTGCTCATTCCTCATCTACTGTAAACTGCACATGGATTAGAACCCGTCTGCCCTTTAGATTCCTATGATTAGAAGAACTTTAACGCAATGGAGAAGAAAACCAGGAAATACTGAAAACCTGCTTGACTTCACAGATGCTTTTTTACTAAAATAAAGCCATTTTCTGGCCAATAACGCCAACATACCTAGACGTCAGCAATGACACGAACATGAACGGGCATTAATCCCAGAAATCAGCAAAAGCATGATCATCTGCACACTTCAACAAGGTTCTTCAAGGGTTAAGACCATTTCTTTACTAAAGAACCCTTGAAAGCACTGCATTGTGAAAGCGCTCTTCAGATTGATGGAGAATGTGCTGTGGATCTTTCTATACAGGACCTTCTTGAAAAGGTATACATAGCACCAAAAAGGGTTCTTCTGTTATTACACACTTAAATGAGATGGTTCTTTGAGGGTTCTTTAGTAAAGAAAATGGTTCTATATACAACCATGGACACTCAACCATTTGCACGATTACACCCTTTTAGAAAAAGGTTCTTCTATTGTTACAAGCTTGACATAACAGAAGAACACTTTTTGGTGCTATATAGAACCCTTTTCAAAAAGATTTCATATAGTCATCTACTGCACATTCTTAAGAACCCTTTCATGATGCAAAGAACCCTTTACTCATAGGGTTCTTTGAGTGTTCATGGTTCTATATTGGACTATTTTCATCACTAAAGAACCCTTGAGAAACCATTATTAAGAGTGTATGATATGTTTTTTACAACAGAAGAACACTTTTTGGTGCTATATAGAACCCTTTTCAAAAAGGTTGAACCAAAGCATCTACAGCACATTCTTCAGAACCCTTTCATGATGCAAAGAACCATTTAATCATGCAAAGGGTTCTTTGAGTGTTCATGGCTCTATATTGAACCCTTTCTTTACTAAAGAACCCTTGAAGAACCATCTTTAAGAGTGTATGATATCAAGCTTGTTACAATAGAAGAATATAGAACCCTTTTTTAAAAAAAACGTTCTATATAGAACCATCTACAACACATTCTCCATCAATCTGAAGAACCCATTCATGATGCAAAGAATCCTTTCATCATGCAAAAGCGTTCCTTGACTCTCCATGGTTCTATATAGAACTTTACTAAAGAACCCTTGAAGAACCATTTATTTTTTAAATGGGTACAATTTCAAGCTTGTTACAACAGAAGAATCTACAAATCATCCTCCATCAATCTGAAGAACGCTTTCACAATGCAAAGAGTCTGTTAATCATGCAAAGGGTTCTTTGAGTGTTCATGGTTCTATGTAGAACTTTTCTTTACTAAAGAACCCTTGAAGAACCATTATCTTTAAGGCTGTACTTGGCTTCATTGCCCAGTTAAAAACTCTTTTCAGCCTCATTCTCTTCTCAGACTGAACCTCCCTTTAAAAACACTGACTCCACCCTGAAGCTCCTCAGCGCAGCAGTACCAGCTCAAAGCTACCGCAGCTCAAAAGTCCTCCCTGCTGTTCTAGACAGAAGGAAGGACAGAGGGGCCGGGCAGTGCGTCCGGTCTTAGAGTTGAAGAGCTTTGCCCTGGTTCTCTGGAAGGCATGTTCATTAGCTGCAAAAGCGAGTTGTTGGAGTGAGTACCGGGGCCTTGAGGAATGGGAGGAGCCGTAGAGAACCTGCCCCCTGCCTGTCTGAGAAGGGTCAGTGCAGTGGGAGGAGTTTGGCTGAGGTCGCGGTTAGAGGCAGGGGGGTCTATTCTTTTAGCCAGAATCTGCTGCGTACAGATAATGAGCTGAGAGAGAGAGAGAGAGAGAGAGAGAGAGAGAGAGAGAGAGAGAGAGAGAGAGAGAGAGAGAGAGAGAGAGGGAGATTATTTCTGCAGTAAAGGTAAAACACTGATCGCCACAACACAGATTAGAAAGTAAAATTCATTCTGAATAAAATACAGGCCGTTTCTGAGGGAGGGTAGAGAGGTGGAGTAGAGAGAGAGAGTGGGGAGAAAAAGAGGATGGAGGGGAGAGAGAGATGAGAAAAAAGAGGACGGAGGAGAGAGGAAAGTGTGAAAGAAAAAGAGTAAGACAGGCAGAGGGGGAAGACAGAGAGAGAAAGAGATGAGAAAGACAAAGAAAAGGAGAAGAAAAAGGACGGAGGAGAGTGAGAGACAAAGAGACAAAGGGAGGAAGAAAGGAGAGAGTCAGAAAGAGAGAAGAGAAAAAGAGAAAGGCAGGTGAGACAGGAGAGGAAGAGAGGAGAGAGTAAGAGAGAGAAAGGTGAGACAGCAAGTGAAGGACAAAGAAAGGACAAGGGGAGAAAAAGGGAGAAAGAAAGAATAAGAAAGAATTAACATTTCTATGTTGCTTTTTATTGACTTAGATGTGTTAATTAACTAGAGCTGTCAAATGATATTTAATGAACTGGGATTAAACAGATTATTTTGTGTAGTTAATGACGATCACTTGACTTAGTTGCTGTAATTTTTCCCCAAACAAAGTTGTTTTTCATTTATGAAGCAGTGCATTTTGTTATAAGTAAACAAGCTTCACCAGAGCGCATGTACTACTTTTAATAATTCAGTAACATTATTGTCATATGAAGGCAGCACCTGAACATGAAAATCATGTGACTTCCACAGAGTGAACGCAGTGTCCAGCATTAATCAGACATCCAGTGAGAGCAACAGTGTCTATGTGTTCCAACCAATGAGTGCATATATCATATATATAGTCAGTGAGTGTATTTTTCATATATATCATTTACACAGTCAGAGCTCTATACATCATATATACAATGAGTATATACACACTATATGGACAAAAGTATTGGGACACCTCTTAATCATTGAATTCAAGTGTTTCATTCAGTCTCATTGCCACAGGTGTATAAAATCAAGCAGCTAGCCATGCAGTCTGTCAGTTTGTGAAGTTTCTTCCCTCCTAGAAACTCCACTATCAATTGTGAGTGGTATTATTAAAAAGTGGACGCGTTTAAGAATCACAGCAACTCAGACACAAAGTGTCAGACCACGTAAAGTTACAGAGCAGGTCGCCAACAGCTGAGGAGCTTAGTGCTTAAAAGTCACCCACACTCTGTTGATCAATAACTGCAGAGTTCAAACCTCCTCTGACACCAAAATCAGCACAAAAACTGCACCGGGAGCTTCATGGCAGGGTTTTCATGGCTGAGCAGCTGCATGTAAGCCTTACCTCACCAAGCACAGTGACAAGCGCAGAATAGAG